GGGCCCCGCACACTAAGCCCTTTGTGGGTATTGTTTTATGTCATCCTCCTAGGAGCTTGAAGACATGGTGCTGATATTATCCCCATTCTGCAGAGGTGGGAACTGAGGCTCAGAGAGGTTAATGCCTTGTCCAAGGTCACACAGCTCCTGTACTATTAATGAAGCTCCCCATCCCTGCCTCTAGCTCCCTCCCAGAGGTAAATGTTGTCCTCAGCATCTTCCACACCACCATACTAGATATGGAAAAGTGTTTTGTACTGTGTGACTCATCTTCATTCCATACTGTATATGACCCAATGCAGGAGAGTGTGGGCTAGCAGGCCCCCGCAGATTGCAGTGCTCTCTGAGAGGCTTCTTGGAGGAGACCGAAGGAGGGGAGGTAGGGGCGGCTGCAGGGGAGAGGTCCCTGACAGGTGAGTGCTACCACCTGTCTACCCTGCCTTCTCCCTTCAGACACAGCTGCCCTGCAGTGCCTTCCAGAGAGTGTCATGGATTAGTAAGAGCTGCCTCATCTGGCAGAACTTCCCAGGCTCGGCTCGTGGGTCACGCTGCTCTGGAAGGTTTGGCTCTGGTCGCTTCCTCCGGAGGCTGGCCCAGCTCTCAGCTGCCTGGGGCTACAGCTCAGCCCACCCAGGCCCTGCAGCCCTCTGGGGCCAAAACCAGATGTCCTGTGGCTCTCTTGCCCTGGAATACCCTCCTCTCACAGTCTTGCCTTTACCCCTCATCCAGGAAGCCTTTCCTGAGCCCTATGGGCTGGATTCGGACCTCAGAGCGTCTAAACCTGTGTTGACCAGAAGAAATATAATGTGTACTACCCATTCAAGCTACTTATGTAATTTTTCTTTATTTAATTCCCACCCAAGGATATTTTTATTGATTTGAGAGAGAGAGAAAGAGAAATATCAATTGGTTGCCTCGTGTAAGCACCCTGACCAGGGATCGAATCAGCCACCTAGGTATGTGCCCTGACTGGGGATTAAACCTGCAACCTTTCAGTGTACGGGATGATGCTCCAACTGAGCCACCTAGCCAGGGTGCCACTTATGAAGTTTTCTAGTAGCCACATGAGAAAAAATAAAAACAGATAAAATTCTTATAATGACTTATTTAAACCAATACATCTGAAATATTATCATTTCAATAGAAAAAGTTATTAATGGGATTTATTACATTTCTTTAAATATTCGAAATCTAGTGTGGATTTTACACTTACAGTACATCTTAATTTGCAGGCGCCACATTTGAAGTGCTCAGTAGCCGCTTGTGGCTAGTGGCTATCCTTGTGGTCAGCACAGTTCTAGAGTCAGGGAGGGGAGCAAAAAGGCTGAAGCTTGGGGTTTGGCATCAGGCAGACATGGCCCTGCCATTTATTCTCTGGGTGAACTTGGGGAAGTCATTAAACCCTCTGAGCCTCTGTTACTTCATCTGTGAAGAGAGTTAATAATTTCGATGCTGGAGAATTGTTGTAAGGACGAAACAAATGAACATGTGTTTGGTGCCAGAGTAAGTGTGCAGAAAATGACGGTGATTCATCGGACTGTAGCCTCCCTTGTACTGGTTTATAGGCCGTGCCCCCAACTGGACTGATTGCGACTCCAAGGGCGGAGGCCACCCAATTTCTCTCCCCTTCCTCAGTGCCCATGTTAGCTGTGAGCGTCACTACTTGATGAATGAAAGTCTAAATCCTTGGGCTAGGAGCACTTGCCACCTACCCTGCCTGCTCTGGCTGTTGGGAGTCAGAGACCAACCACTGACCTTGGCAGAGACCACTGGCTACATGGGGTGAACTTGGCAAGTCTGTTTTGTTCAGGGCCTTGGTTTTCTCATTCACAAGATAAAAGGGGGGTGGGAGGGGCCTTGCCCGAAGTGTTTGGTTTAGTCTCTGCCCACCAGTGGCCTTGGGGGAGGCCTGTGGCTCACACTATGTGCTTTGCCTTCTCAGCCAATGGAGTGGACCATTTCCATCCTTTCTCTGGCTTTCTTTTGCACCATCAAGAATTTCTCCTACCTTCTGGTCTAGGCAGACCAGAGAGGAGATGAGGGATCCTGTCCCTTCACCTCTACCAGCATTTGCTGACCTCCCATCACAGCAACCCCATAACAGAAATAGGGCAGGAAGAATTTCTCCCACTTCACAGGTGAGAACACTGAGGCTCAGAGAGGCCAAATAATCTGCCCCAGTAACAGAAAGAAGTGATAGAGCCAGGGCTGGAAGCAGAATTCAGAACTAAGGACACCGAAGAGATGCTCGCCATTGTTGGGAGGGTCCTCTTCCTCCTTGCATTTGTGCACGGTGGCATTCATGAAATGGGGCCCTGGGTTGGGTTGTTTCTATGTCTCAGTTTCCCTGCCTGGGGAATAAAGGCAGCCGAGTAGCTGGGGTAGCAATTTTAATTGATGCTCGTAAGGGTCCGGTATTCTTCAGAGAGTGCCCCAGCCTCCCCTCCTGCCCCAACCAGATTTCTCTAGAAAAAATTATTGTAGGGTAAAGTGGAAAGTGTCTGGTCCACTGAGCCTGTGTTACGGTGTAACCTTGTTGTAACCTTGGACAAGTCACTCACCCCTCTGGGTCTCAGCCTGCCTATTTATAAAGTGAGGGGTGATGTAAGATATGAAGATTGCCATGAAAGTGTTTTACAAACTGGAAAATGGTAAGAGAAATATTAGTCGATAAATAATAATAATAATAATAATAAAGAAATAGAAATAATGATAATAGAAGCAGCCTAAATTTTCTGTGTGGTCTCCCTGACCTGAAGTAAAATGGGACCTTTGGGTATAAATCCAGAATGATGTCTGGGAACGTCCTGCCTTGGTCTTTGGAACGTAGCCTGGATTTGTCTGGGAAAGTGAGAGGCTCCATCCAGCTGAGGAGGGTGGGAAAGTGGCCCTGCCCCAGGGGAGGAGGAAGGGGGAGGGCTCCTGCTTGGGGGAGGAAGGGAGGGGAGGAGGGTCCCAGGAAGCAGAGAAACAGAGTGCTTTGGCCATGCAGCTCTGTGATGCCAACAAGAGCCCAGAGTTGGGAAGGCCTGCAAGCAGAGGACGCTGAGCCAATTTGGAATAAAAATTCTTGAAGGCAGGCAGTCAAGAATCTCTTAGCAGATGTGCACATGAAACAATAGGCTCATCCGGTATAACTCCTGAGTTTTCTGATCCATTCATTCATTCATTCATTCATTCATATGAATAAATGTAGAGAGAACTGAACTCAGAGCACCCCCACCTGGCAAAGTGACTTGCCCAAGGCCACGCCCCTGAAGGCCTGGGGAGTTTCTGGGAAGAACTGAATTGGGGAGACTGGGGAATGAAAAGTCCAAAGCACCGGAGGAAATCTGTAAGCAAGTCTGCGCAGCAGGTCTCTGGTCCTTCTGTGAATTGGCCCCAGGTTGATTTGTCCATCTCCTGGTCTCCCGTCTGGAGGGAGGGTATGTTCTCTGGGACTGGGAGGAGCTGGCATCCTTCTGCTCTGCCCACTCCTGAGCCTAGTGGGCAGCAGGGAGAGTGAAGGGACCGGAAGCAATGTCTTGGAAAATCTGGAGGAGGAGTTCATTGTGGTGAAGTTGGAGAAGAGAAGCCTCCAGCTTCAGGTTCAGGGATGGGGAGAACCGTTGCTGTCTTGAGTTCTCGGAGGGGTGCTGGGTAGAAGGCCCAACCTCTTTTTGTGGAGGCCTTAGTGTTGGTACTAGAGCCTCAGGTGGAACTTCATGATAGAGCGGCCACTTTGGGAGGGAGGAGTTATCTGCCCTGGAGTGCAGGAGCAGAGCTGGATTCTGGCGAGGTCGACTCTGAGGAAACTGCAGCATTGGGGGACAGATGGCCTTGCGCGTATCTTCTTCCCAGCTTTGTGCATCTGTGGTTTCTAGCTGGTGGATTCTGGTGCCTAGGACTCTGGCTGGCACATAATAGGTACTCAGGAATTATTTGAAGAATTGAAAGAATAAATGTGCATGCCAGGGGGCGGGGATGGTTAGGGAGTAGGGCCATGTGGGCTGCAAATGCAGACCGATGGGCAGACATTTCTGGAGCTCACACTGTGGGTTACCCGCCTTCTCTAGGCCTTCCTGTAGAGAACCAGGACCCCTAGAGACGGCTACATCCATCCCTTTCTTTCATTGTCTGCAAACTGAGGAAAGCACCTTGCCCAAAGGTACTGGTTGAGCCAGTGACCCAGCTAGATTGGAACCCAGGCCCTCTTCCTCTCAGAGTCCTCCGCTATTTGAGGTCCTGGCCTGTTGATTGACTGAGGTGGAGGTGCTATGGTTGGACCAGCTTTTTGAGTTAGTGCTGCTGGAGGGGAGGAACAGGGCTTCACTTGGTTTTGAGCTGTGACCTCAGTGCCCCAGGCCCCTGGGCCCCTACCACCACCTTCCTGCAGCCTGCGTGCACATTCAACACATGCTCATGCATGTACATGGGCCCAGTCCCCACCATTACACTTACGGTCATTGCCACCCATGCACACGTGAACAAATGTACGCACAGAATCAGCCAGGATCCCAGGAGACATTTGCACATTACCTCCTCCTGGGTAGGGGAGGAGCCTTCAGTCCCAGGGAGACTGCCCTGCTGTGCTGCCTGGGAAGCAAGGGTGTCTGGTTAGGTGGGCTGGGAAGGCCCACTGAGACTGAGTCATCACTTCTAAGTCAGGGATCCTCCCCCCTCCGTCTACTGTCCCCCTTCCTCTCTCCCTGCTGAGCCCCCAAGAGGGGTTGGCCCAGCTAGGAGGGCCGAGGCTCGCCTGGGCCGGGTGGGGACAGCGGAGACCCCAAGAGTTGGCTTCTGATGCAAGGTCCCGCAGTGATCCGGAACTGCCGCTGTGGCAGTCCCTGGAGGGAGGAGGAGGCCTGGGAGCCTGAGCGATAGAGAGGGAGAGAGGGAGACAGGCAGAGAGGAGGCGGAGGCAGGGGCAGGGCGGCCCGAGGGAGCAGGCAGGCGCGCGGCAGCCGCTCCCGGGCTGGGCGCGGAGGCCAGGCGCGGGCGGGGGCTGGCCGTGCGTTGGGAGCCAGGCCCGGGGCTGTGGGCACAGTGCCCAGCCCCCGGCGCACGCCGAGCCGCCGCTGCTGCAGTCGGCATCCATCAGCGGGCGGGGGTGTCACGGAACAGGCTGCTCCGCAGAGCTCACCGCGCGCCCCGCCCGGAGGCCTGCCACCCCGAGGAACCGAGGGGGCGCCCCACACTCAGACTTGCCGAGATGGAGACCTCCAGGCTCAGGTAGGCACATGGGGGAAGATCAGGTGGAAGTGGTGGTGGTGGGGGAGGCGGCTCGGCACTTGTAGGCCCAGACTCCAGCCCTGGGGGAGGGCTGGGGGGGCAAGATCGGGAGGAACTGAGTTTTCAGGCATTTGGTTCCCTGGCCAGTGTGGGGGTGGTCCTTGCTGTTCCTCCCTATCTCCCAGCTCTGCAGCCTCCCCAAGGCCTGGAGAGAGAGGTGGGGAGGCGGTGGGCTGGTGCTGGCTGTGGGGATGGAAGGTTGCTGGCCTCCTCCCGGCTGGTCCATTCTGCTCGGAGACCACTTCTACCGCCTCCTTGGAGGTCGAGCGCTCTCGGGGTCTCCCCAACCCAGCTTCAGGTGCTGCAGGGTAGCCTCTTGGTTTGGCTGGAGGCTGGGATGCTGGGAGCTCCTGCCCTTGCCCTCACCCCCAACGTACAGGCATTTCCCCACTCCAGGCTCACTTTCTGCCCCACCCCGCTTCAAAGCCCCCCCAAGCTGGGGGATGGGCCTTACCCCCAGAATGTCTGTGGGCCTGGCTTGGCATTGTTTTGGCAGCAATCGTCCCCATTGATTAGAGGGAGAGGACTTAAGGGTCCCAGTTGTGTCTGGCACCTTCACACTTTGAGGTGACCAGGGGCCCAAGAGGCTAGGATCTTGGGGATAGACCTGGGGGGGGCATTCACTAGGATATTTACTGGGTGCTGAAGCCACTGCCAGGCAGAGCTGTGGCCTGGGGAGATCCATGAGAATCTTGAGGGACTGGACAAGGACTGGGAAAGAGTTCTGAGTATGCTGGCCTCCCTCCGCTGCCTGCCGGCCACGGTCCCTGCTTTTTCCCCCGGAGCTCTGAGGATGCGTTGCTGGGGGAGAGACACTACCACGTGTTCCTGCCTTCACTTCTGGATCCACACAGCACCTCCTCTGCACCCAAAGGTGGGAGTATAGGAGGACTAGAGTTAGGACCTCGCTGGGGCCATAAGGGGTCCAGCTGCTCCATCTCTCCTGCCCCCACCTCCAGCATTAGGAGTCTTCCAGAATCAGGGCAGTAGGACCAGGTTGAAAGCCGAGGACTGTGATGGTGCCCTCAGAAGCTCCTGGAAGACTCAGTGCTGCCTGTCCTGGGCAAGGGAGTGGAGAATAGAGGTGGCTATGTGCCCGCCTGCCCATCCAGTCCCTCCAGATGGAGGCTGCGGCAGAGGCAGCCTGTGCCAGCCTCCTCTCTGAGCCACGGTGGCCCAAGGAGGCTCTGCCAGCTCTGTGTAGGGATGGAGCAGGCTTCCGCTGGCCAGCCTGAGGTCATGCCTGCCCAGTGACACCATGAACAGTGTGGTGTGCAGAGCATGGTCCCTTGAGGGGCACCTGAAGGCAGATAAGTGCAGTGGGCATTGTTCCTATTAAGACCCTTCCCAGGCTACCGGGCCATTCCCTGGGCCCAGCTCTGTGAGCTTCATGGAGGGCTGCTTCCACAGAACTCACATGAGAAGAGCGTTTGGTCCTGAAGTCCTCACTTGATAAATATTGAAAGGTTGAATGAGGCCTGGACTAGAGGAAGAGTGACTTGTCCAAGGTCATGTAGCAGCTGAGTGGGAGAGCCAGCACTAATGTACCAGGTCTTCTGTCTCTTGCTTTGGGGGTTCTTGTAGCCCAAATGCCTGCTTCTCTGTTTGTGACTGTCCCATACCCAGGACCCTGACAGGGGCTGGGCCTTGGAGCCTGGGTCCTGAGGTTACCACTTAGGAGGTGCTTATACTGACACCCCCCACCCCCAGGCTTTGCTCTGAAAATGTGAGGAGGAGAGGCTAGACTGCTTCACAGATAATGGGCCAGGGCTGAGGCAATGGGTAGTCGGGAGCACTGGACCCTCTTGAGAGTGCGCAAAGCCAAGAGGATGCCGGGTGCCCAGGGTTGTTCTGGACCTGAGCCTCCTGGGGCTGTGGAGGGGGTCTCAGGTGGGAAGTGCCTCTGCGTGAGCTTCAGCATGGACAGCGCTGTGAGCACCTCTGGGCTTGTGCGTCTGCATTATTAAAAGGGGATGATTAATCTCTACCTGGAGTAATGATTATAAAATCTGAGCGAAGGCATGTATTGAGTACTTACTGTATACCACATAGTGCAATAGGTGATCTGCATTATCTCACGGCAACCCTGTGAGGTAGATGCTATTACTGTCCACTTTTTACAGGTGGGAAACTGAGGCTCAGAGAGACTGTGTCACTTGCCTGAGGTTACACAGCTGGAAAGGGTGGGGTTGTGCAGGTCCAGAGCCCCTCTTTCCGCCATGACATTATACCTGGGGCAGTGTCTGCGAGAACCAGGTGGGTGTCCAGCAGAGCCACACAACTGATTTGCCAGGGTTGGTCCAGGTGGAGAGGCCTGTGTGTCTGGACTGTGGGATGAGGGTGGTTCTGTGGCCCTGGTGCCCCTGTGGTCCTGCGGGGAAGGGGCAGCGAGGTGCTGGCTGGGAGGCCTGAGAGAGAGGTCGGCCTTGGCGCTTTGCTTCCTGGCCAGGGCTTACTAGAAGGGGGGATGCTTTGGACCATTGGCCGTTAGGGAGGACTGGCTGGCCCTGACACTTACCCTGTGCCACATTAGGTAGGACCCCAGTGACCGGAAAACAAGAGGGTGGGAATGCAGGGCATCAGCTAGGACTTTGTAGAGGGGACCATGTAGGGAGGGGACCTGAGCCTGGGTGGGTGGCTTGGGAATGGGAGTAGGCTGGCACCACCACTTCCTTGTGGGTGGGAAGCTTGTGGATAAGACCAGTAACAGGCAGCATCTATTGAGCACTTACTACATTCCAGGCACTGTTTTAAGGGCTAACCTGTATAATTTACACAAGCTTCACAAAACCCCATGAGATAGGAATTTTTCTTCACATTTACAGATCGAGGGAGCTGAGGCTTTGCAAGGGGAAGACAGTTGCTCAAGGTCACACATAGGTCTCAGGGAAGACAGGGTTCACACCCAGGCAGTGTGGGTCAGAGCCGTGTTCCTAATGGGCTTATGGTCTATCCGGGAGGCACAGACACGACACAGGAAAGGGAACGGGGGAGCTATAGCATGCGCTGAACATGGAGTCCTATTTTGGTGATCAGAGAAGCCTTCTGGGCACCAAAGACCAAGTGGAATTCTGATAGTTTCGGGGGGAGGGCACCCACTTCCCCAAGTCGGAGGGGAAGGAAATTGGGATGCCTTTGAAGAAGAACAGATGTCTGGTGCGCGTGGAGCAGATGGTGCAGGGGGCTGGGGGTGCTGGGAGGTGACTCAGAAAGTCAGCTTGTGTTTGGGTCTTTTGGCAAAGCTCTGAAATCCACCAGATCTAGGCTCTAGTCACAGCTTTGCTGTGTATGACCGCGTGGCCTTGGGCATATCACTTAGCTTTTCTGAGCCTCAGTTTCCTCATCTATAAAATGTGGACAGACACACCTATCTCACAGAGCCCACATTTGGTGGTGGTTACGTGGAGGACCTAGCGCAGGGCTGGCACATCACAGGGACTTGGTCCACGTGACTTCTCCCCACCCTCCATCCCTCTGAAACATCAGGCTAAGGTGTTTTCAGTTGACAGGAGCCCAGGGGCTTTGGGAAACTTTGTGGGTGTTTGCTCTGCATATAACATGCACTGGGGCATGACAGAGCTGCGTTTGGGAAGGTCCCTTTGACAACTGTAAGAACCACACGGAGGGGCGTGGATGTGGCCTTGCAGGAAAGAACCAACCCTGTGGACTCGGAGGACTGGGGCAGGAAGAAGGTTGAAACCACAGTAAGATGTCTGTCCCCTCGGGTGGTGTGCGGCTCATCTGTTTGGAGCAGCTTGGGGTGGGAGAGGCCACCAGGGCCATGACTTCAGTTTGTGGCCTCGTAAGTTTAAGATGAAGGACTCGTCTAAGGTTTTGCAGCATCTTCTTTGTGTATTTGCCATTTTTTCCTCTTTTGAGTAATTTTCTTTGCATGAATCCCCATCAGAGCCTCCTCTATAATAGCAGCAAATTGGGACTAAGTGCCTGACAATAGGAAGATGATTGAGAACATTTTGGAACATCCAGTGGATAAAATAATATGCAACCGTGAACAGCCATGGAAATACTTACCCACAGCATATGGAGCTGTGCACTTGTGAAGCTCTTTGGCATCCTTTATTCATGTCATTTCATTTCACATGTCCCTGTGACAGAGGTGGGACGAGGATTATATGCTTCTTGTGCATGAAGAGATTCAGGCTCGGCTCTAGTCTCCATGAGGACAGGGTTCATAATTTACTCATTGTTGTATCCTCAGCATGTAGCTCAGTGATTTGCAAATGCTTGTTTGGTGAAAGGATTGTTTGAGGGAAGGAAGCAGGGGAGAAGTGACTTGTCCAGGGTCATAGAAATAGTAAGACCCACTGAGTCTCCTCATTTCTACTTGCCACATTCTTCTCACTGAGGAAGCAGGGCAGAGAGGTTCCCAGCAAAGACTTGGGGTGCACGTAGACCAGGGCTACAGTCTAATTTCTGCCCTTACTATTGTTGTGTTGGGAAATTCATCTTTTTAAGTCTCAATTTCCCCATCTGTAGTGTGGATAGTTCAAGTACCTCCTTTTAGGATTGTTATCCAGACTAAATGTTTTAAGGCATATAAAATTCCCAGTACACAGTATAACACCCATGAATGTTAGCTGTGATAACATAAGAATGTGGAAATATTTCTGATACAAATTAATGTTAAATGAAATAAAAACCCCATAAAATTATGAGCACTCAGATTAAAGTGCTGTAAAATCAGGTATGACCATAGATACTGTGCTCACAGGCAGAAATGGAGTTTGAGCAGGTACTATGGGAAGTAAATAAGACTGACCAAAAGAAATCTTTTTTAAATTTTACATTTGTTTTTCCTTAGTTTTAATTACAAAAGAAATCCTCATAATTCAGAAGTGTATTCTCTCCTAGGCTCCCAACTAAAATCCTTCTCTCAAGAAGTGGCCAGCAGCAGTGCGGGACGCGCCCTCACAGTGTAT